TTTTTGCACAAAAATGTGCTGTACTGTACTGTCACAAACCTCCTGTTGAAGACCCCTGCTGTACAGCATTAATAGTACAACAGTTGTATTTATGGCATTGCAGGTCCATCTATAGTTAATAAGCTGCATTATAAATTGCTGCTCATGTCCATGGACTCTTAGAGCACAAATTGATTTAATAGTTAAAAACTGACATGGTTCAGCAAAATAAGAGTACATCGCTCAGTCAGGATTTGAGAGGGAGTTTTATTGTAGTTATTTCAAAGCCTACGCAATTTTGGATCCTCTTTTCACTTGAAATACAGGGATGTTGTTTAAAATAACTGTTGTGTAGACATTAAAGGGATAGTTTATCCAAATTCTCACGTCATTCCGAACCTACATAACTTACTTTCTTTTGTGTAGAGCAGAGGGTGATTTTTTTTCAAGCATATCCTGTTTTTTTTTATTTCAATATAATGAAAGTTCTCCAAAATGACAAAAAACACCATAAAAGCATAATCAAATATGGCAGATGGAGAAGTTGTGTTGTGTTTAACACATTTATGTGACATCAAACCTGTGTAGTCATGTAAATGCGTTAAACTGTATTATTTTATTGGCGTACGGTCATAAACGAATTAAGAATAAACTGATCAACACAATTTTTGCCCATTAACCCAATTTTGCATATAAACACCTTAACCTGCATTCTTTCATTATTTTATTGAAGTTTGCATGTGTTATATGTATCAGGAAAGTATTCTTCCTGCAGATTTAAGTGCATCCAACCAGAGTGAGTGTTTCTGGTTGTATATATTGCAAATATATTATATACTCCGGCTCTTTTTTAACCCAAGAAATTATTTTTAAAAATGTGTTCTCTTCTTGTGCAGCTGAAGGATAAGTGGTCATAGAAACTGTAAATATGAGAGGAGAATATGAGTATGTACTAGTTTGCTACTTACATTTTGGGATACTCTGTGGATTGTAATGCTTTATTTACCATCAGAACTTGCTGTCACTGATATGAACCTGAATTTTTTTTTTAAGTGATGTAAACATGTTTTTTTGCACTGGCATGTTATTGGTTTGAATGTAAACTGATAAAAAATATTATTTTAATAAAAAGATTTATGGTAGTTATTCGCATATTGCTGTAAAGCCTGGTGTGAGACATCAGAGGTGACATATTTGAGAATGGAGGGCAATATTTTCAGTGACTAATTATTGCATGGCTTCTGAAGACATGGAATATATTGCATAAATCATGTGGACCACTTGTATGGTGCATTTGTTATTCTGGAGCTTCAGCACTTTTAGTGAATGTAAAAGAACAGCCGTGATATTCTACAAATTATCTCCTTTTGTGTTCCATGGAAGAAAGTAGGCTACAAGTTTGGAGCGACATGAGGGTGAATAAATCCAAACGGTCTAAAAGCTCATCACAGACACGCTGTGTTGTTTTCACTGTTGTATGACATGCTGTTAGCCCTCTCATCATGACTAAATATCACCAAACTGCAGGCTAATTGTGTCTGTGCATGTTAACGTGATTGGTGCCTTAGTAATAAATATCAATTATTTGACTCGTTGCATCTTTGAATAAGTAATTAAGATGCAGATTTGTTTAGTCAGCAGCTATGTCTCACTGTTCCACAAATATCACACATACACACTTGCTGTCGGCTTTCTTTCATAGTCTCTTATGTTCCTCGATGAGCTCATCACAGACACGCTGTGTTGTTTTCACTGTTGTATGACATGCTGTTAGCCCTCTCATCATGACTAAATATCACCAAACTGCAGGCTAATTGTGTCTGTGCATGTTAACGTGATTGGTGCCTTAGTAATAAATATCAATTATTTGACTCGTTGCATCTTTGAATAAGTAATTAAGATGCAGATTTGTTTAGTCAGCAGCTATGTCTCACTGTTCCACAAATATCACACATACACACTTGCTGTCGGCTTTCTTTCATAGTCTCTTATGTTCCTCTCTCTCTCACTCTGTCTCTCTCATATGCACACAGACGTAGCCACAAAGCTTAGATATCGACTTTTGGCACAAATGGAGTTGAAGCAGGAAATATCAGGTTATCATTATGATCTCTGTTCTTTCCAGATTAGGCAGGCTAGCGTATGGCTCTAACACAGGGGAGAGGAAAATAATCCACACACACACACACACACAATCCACATTGTCTACACAGTCCAAATCGAAAATCAAGGATTCAGATTCTAATTTAAACCTGTAAACAAAGAAATAATTGTAGTTTTAAACAAAGTACTGTTATAATGTAAAATGAAGAAGTTTTTTTTTAAGATTCTGCATTGTTGTGACAATGTTAAGGCCCTTGTGCTAAAGGTCAAATTTTCTTGCTTCCACTCAAGCAGAAGATGCTCTTTCAAATCATGCTGGACAGCATGGATCGTAAGATTTAAGTTTATTCCAGCTTGAGTACATGCCTTCAGAAAAGTCTAAATAAATAAAAAATAAATAACATAAAATATTCTGATTTTAAATGTACAGTAGCACAAGTCAAATGTTAAAAAAAAATTTTTGGTGCTTTATGTATTTATTTGTTATTCTTTTTATTTTATATTTTATTTTATGTGAAATTCATGTACCTTTTTAAAATATATTTTTTACTGAGTTTTAAATTAGACAAATACAAAATAGGAGCATTTTCCCTATATGTCTTCCTAGACTTTTTAGATGTGATGTATCTTTGGTGGATATACTCAGTGTATTTGTGCTGTTTACGTATGCCTTGCGTGCATCTACGTATTTTCCTGATAATAATGTGTATTAGGGATTGTGTTAAGCTGCTGTGGAGTGTTTTCCAACTGAGGCAGATGGTGTGTGTGTGTGTAGGTTTAGGGGTTTGAAGGGCTTCAGTTTTACATGAGTCAGAGATCAGATTGACCCATTTCCTCCACGGCAGAATCCTGACATGTGGAAACACACATACATTTGGGGTTTGTATGTGTCACCGTTCCCCTCCTTCACTCCCCGTTTCCTACATCATCATGATTCCCTGCAGGAAGTGACATGTGTGGTCTTTTCTCTCTCAGCTCTGTAAAAGTGAAGGAAGCCTCAGAGTGCAGCGGAGGAATTAAATATGGATAGGAGACGGGGGAGGCAACACGGATGAGGGGGTCTGCAACCACTCTCTCTCCTAATGATGTGATGTGATGTGACAAGCGTGGTGCTCGTGGGGGCAGAGTTACCATAGCGATTCCCAACACGCCCCCCATCTGTGGCAATCTCCCATGCACAGCATCCATATTTAATGCAACTTTTACTTAGTGCAGTTCAACTGCCCACCCAACCCCCCCCCCCCCCCC